TTCGAGACTGGCCAACATGGTGAAACCTCGTCTCTACTAAAAACACAAAAACTTAGCCAGGCATAGTGGCAGATGCCTATAGTCCTAGCTACTCAGGAGGCTGAGGCAGGAGGATAGCTTGAACCCGGGAGGCAGAGGCTGCAGTGAGCTGAGATCCTGCCACTGCACTTCAGCCTGGGTGGCAGAGTGAAACTCTGTCTCAAAAAAATAAAAATAAAAAAGTGAATTCTATATAGTCGAAATAGTTAACTATAATGGTGAGAATGAACAAACAACAGGAAGGAAGGAAGGAAGGAAGGAAGGAAGGAAGGAAGGAAGGAAGGAAGGAAGGGAGGAGAGGGAAGGGAGGGAGGAAAAGAGGAGAGGCGAGAGAAGGGAAGAAAGGCAAGGAGGGGAGGGAGGAAGGAAGGGGAGGGGAGGAAGGGAGAGAGGGAAGGGGAAGAGAAGCGAAGGCAGGGAAGGAAGGGAAGGAAGAAGAGGAAGGGAAGGAAGAGAAGGAAGGGAAGGAAGAGAAGGCAGGGAAGGAAGGGAAGGCAGGGAGGGAGAATCAGAAAAGTTAAATCTCTGAATGTAAAGAAATATTACGAATACCTGGCCAGGCGCAGTGGTTCACACCTATAATCCCTGCACTTTGTGAGGCCAAGACGGGTGGATCACCTAAAGTCAGGAGTTCGAGACCAGCCTGACCAATATGGAGAAACCCCATCTCTACTAAAAATACAAAATTAGGCTGGTCTGAGTGCAGCGGTGTTTACAACTAATTGATCACAACCAGTTACAGATTTCTTTGTTCCTTTTCTACTCCCACTGCTTCACTTGACTAGCCTAAAATAAATAAATAAATAAAATACAAAATTAGCCAGGCATGGTGACGCATGCCTGTAATCCCAGCTACTCAGGAGGCTGAGGCAGGAGAATCACTTGAACCCAGGAGGCAGAAGGGGCAGTGAGCTGACATCATGCCACTGCACTCTAGCCTGAGTGACAGAGTAAGACTCTGTCCCAAAAAAAGAAGAAAGAAAGAGAGAAAGAAAGAAAGAAAGAAAAAGAAAGAAAGAAAGAAAGAAAGAAAGAAAGAAAGAAAGAAAGAAAGAAAGAAAGAAAGAAAGAAAGAAAGAA